TAATTAGCATTTAACTCTACTCTTTTATAATGCTTTATGCTTTATATGCATAGAAATTAATTAATAGTCTTTTACTAAGTCTACTGTTGCTAATTTATAGTGTACAGCTAATTTATTATTATATCTTAGCTCTACTACATAAGTTACATTAGACTGTTATAATTCCTTTAATTTACACCCCCTTAGCTTACTATATAAGGTGTTAAAGTGTAGCTAGTCTAGAGTGTTCTAGACGCTTATGCTATAGCTCTACTAATGCCTTTTATAGACTATGTTTAGTTCTTGTGTTAATTATATATGTATAATATAAGCTTTTTTATAGTAGATAGTACTCTAACACTTATTAGCTATAAATCTTTATAAGATCTCTAATTATTATCCTATCTAAGGCCTTTAAAGTAGTTAGCTCTACTTATGTGTCCTACTAGATTTCTTTTTATTGTAGTAGGCAGAACAAGACTAAGTTGCACAGCAGGTCTAGGCATAGTACAGTGTTATAAAGTACAAGACTATATGCTTAACTATGTGTTCTATGCTTACTTTTTAAGCTTAGTGTAATTAATCTATAGCCTTAAATCTATATGCAAGAGTTTTTAGACTAGATAAAGTTTTTTAGTGTTAGTAAATAATAGTTATAGATCTAATTAAAATTATTTATAATATAGCATGTTAAGCTTAAGTTAAGGATAAATAATTCTCTTAGCAGATATCTATTCTAGTTTAAATTAACTATAGCTAGCAATATAGCTACCTTAACTCTTAATACTTCTTAGCCTTTAAGTTAGTCTTTTTATATCTCTAGCGTAGGTATATGTAAACTCTTTAGGATTAGTATTCTTAAATTATGTCTACACTGCCCTTTTAGTAGGCCTTAAAATTCTAAGTTGTGCTTACGCTTTAATGCTATAAGCTTTTTAACTCTTTTATTTAGCATCTACTAGTCTAGTGCTCTGTCTAGATAGACATAGAAGTAGTCCTTTAGTGCATAGATGTGTTTACATGCAGGACATTTAGTGCTTCTTATTTTAGTAAGTTTCTAGCTTAAGAATAACTTTCTATTATTTTCTTAATAACATTAATGTTAAGGTTTACCTTATTTTCTTAACATTATAACTTCTGCACTACAGGTGTCTCTATTTATGCCCTAGGTAGTTTTTTTACTTTTAGTAAAGTATAACAAGTTATCTATTATAAAGGCAGCTTTATGCTTTCTTATATGTATTAAATAATTTAACATTATATGTTTTTAAAAGCGCTTTATTATTTTTTTTTAATTTATGTTTAGTGTAAACTGTCTACTTTCCTAAAAGGTTATAGACTAATAAGAGGCAACTTTATTTATAGTAGTTAGAAAGTTTTTTGCTATAGCATTAAACTGCGTTGTTTCTAGAACATTTTATGTCTCTGCTTCTGTAGCAGCGTAATTATACTCCGCTAGCCACAGGTCCTATATGCTCGCGTTTTTTAGCAGCTTTAGGGATGCATTATATTAGTTACGCGCGCGTTCTTATTTAAATTAGTTGTTAACGCCTACTGTAGCTTTAAAGTTTATAATCTACTATCTAAGTAGTTAATCTAGGGAACAGCATGTACACTGCAGATGCAGGCTAACTGTTAACTAGATAAGACAATAATCTGTTAGAAGCTTAATTACTCTCTTTTATAATTATGTCTGTTACTCTTGTACTTGTTAGCCTTAATCTTGTAGTATTTAATAGCTTCTTTAAAGGCTCTAACACTGCTTATTAATAGCTTGTTTAGGTGCGTAGGCGTTTTAATGTTAGAGGCTGGTGAAAACTCAGCTATTAGCGGCATCTCTAGAGCTCTTGGTTTGGAGATCATTTGGATGGTCAACTTAGGATCCACTTGCGGCCAGATGCCGTGCGCTACACATCTCGATTGCAGCTGCATCATCCAGGCTCTGTAGTCGGTGTGGTCTCGAAGGACGACTGTCGCGTCTCGAGGAGGCTGGGTGGCCATTTTGTATTGATGGAGGCACTGAGACTCTTAATTGTCAGATTAAAGCACTGTTTCTAGGCTTCCTAAGATGAATGATGGGTTTAGATATAATGTATAGGATGATTAATTAATTGTATTAATTGTGTTTTTTTTTTATTAATCCTTTTTCTGCTCTACTTGTGTTGCTCAGCTTTTTTGTTCTGCCGATCCGAGTCCCTCGCGCACTAGCCCTATGCGCGACCAGCTTGCAACATGCTGCAATTTGCTGCAAAATGCTGCAAAATGCTGCAATTTGCAGCAACATACTGTTCGAGCTTATTGCTCGTACTATGTAGCAGCTTTCGTCAAACGTTCCTCCTGTCTTGACAGTAGGTGCGCATATCTGACACTATGTTACATAATGCTTGTGCGCGAACCTCTGTGCGCAAACATCTAGATATCCCCCTTTTCCTCTATACAGAGGAAAGACAAGAGTAATAGAACTAGAAACATGTTACTCTTACTTTACCTACCTTGTACGCTGTGCACACTGTACACCACTCTTACTCTTGCTACTTAAGTGCTCATACCATAAGCAGCTAGCTGTCGGAGCCTATTCAACAAGAGCAGTTGTTACAGCTTTAGAGAGATAAGGACAGCTAAAGGCAATATAGTAAAGTAATAAAGAGTAGATAATAGTTATGTAGGGCATTAACATAATAGGGTAAGCTATAAGATTATAAAGCTTTAAGCAGTAAATAAAGCTGCCACATAACATAGATTGCATAAAAAGAAGTAAATTTAGGCAGAAAGAACCTTAATAGTTAAGGATAAGGCTTGTCTAACTACTTTAAAGGAGTTTAAAGCGCGTAGTAATAGGAAGAAGCTAAAGACATAAATACACGCTAAAGAAGGTAAGCTAAGTTAAAGGTAATGCAGGCAGTGCAATTAGACTAGGCATAACTTGCGTATGTATAAGTAAGTAGTAGAAGTAGACTCTAAATAATATCTTGTGTTGTATTACTTTATATAGGGCTAAAGTAGGCTGTTTTGCGAGAGAATAGGGTGGTTTTAGTAGGGGCTTGGCAAAAGTGGCCGGGCAACCTGTGTGGCCAGCCAACCCGTTAGGTACGTTAGCTAACTTATAAAGGCTAAGTAATAATAAAAAGTAGGTAATTATTAAGACTATACTTAAGCTATATATATAAGGATTTTTTTTTAAATAGCATTTATAGCTAATATAGCTAATTCTTTATGCGCTAAGTATAATTTAGGCTATATTAGCATAAACTAGCCTAGAATGTTTATAACATGTTATTTAAAGCTTAAAGTAAAGTTTTAAGTATAAGTATAGTAAATAAATATTTAGCTTATAACAAAGCCTATTTTACTAAAGTTGTACATGTTATTATTTTAAAAGCTATACTTAGCTATAATATTCTTTATAAGGCTAAACCTACTTTAAATTACTCTAAGACTTTTATAGAAAGCTTTTTTATAGTTATACTACGCTTAAATATTACTTTAAGCTTTAAATAACGCTTTCTAAATATACTAGGCTTATTTATGCTAATATAGCCTAGATTACACTTAGTGTGTAAAAGATTAGCTATATTAGTTATAAATGCTATTTAAAAAGAAAATCCTTACGCATATAGCTTAAGTATAGTCTTAATAATTACCTACTTTTTATTATTACCTAGCTTTTATAAGTTAGCTATAGAATTAGCTTATAAAAGTTGTCTAGTGCTATAGTTATTTGTTATCTTTTAAAGGACTTTATATTAGCTGTAGCATGTTTCTTTAAAAGTTTTATGTTTTATTTAAAAGCTTAAAGTGTAAGCTATATCTAACATTCTTTTAGCATATTTAAGTAGTGTTGTTAGAAATGCATTAGTATAAAAAAAGTAGTTTAGTAAAGTCTTAGCAAAAGTAAGTAACTTAGGTGTGTAAGCAACTTGCCTGTAAAGTACATTATAAATAGTAATAATTTTATTATTTTTATAGTATTACTAGAAATAAAGTAAGTTATAGCTTTTATAGCTATTAATAACTAGTAAATAGTAGCTGCTAATAGTACACTTCTTTATATACACATTAAAGTCCTTTAACTAGTCTAGACTAAGCTAATTAGTAGTTTAGCTGTGCTTAAAATTATAATAACTTAATTCTAAAGTAGATTTTTTTAATACTAGTTTAAAAAGTAATTACTACTCTAAAAGATAATAAAAGGTAGAATAGCTTACCTTTTAGTATTAATGCTCTAGATAGCTGTTGTCTACTTCTAGTTACCTAGCTAGACTACTTTTAGCTATCCTTATATCTTTAAACTTATAATTACTTCTTTAGTAGATATCTAGCCTATTATAAACTCTATTTTATTAAAGTTATATATGTTATTATTTTAGATGCTATACTTAGCTTTAATATTTTTTATAAAGTTAAACTAGCTTTAAATTACTATAAAAATTTTATAAAAAGCTTTTTTATAGTTATACTTATACTTAAACTTTACTTTAAGCTTTAAGTAGCGCTTAATAAATATATTAAGCTAGTTTATGCTAATATAACTTATATTATGCTTAGTGTGTAAAGAATTAGCTATATTAGCTATAGCTGCTAGCTAGAGGGGAAATCCTTACGCATCTAGCTTAAGTATGTGCTAAATAATTACCTGCTTTTTATTATTATCTAGCTTTTATAAGTTAGCTATATAATTAGCTTAAAAAAGTTATTTAGCATATTAGTTACTTATTATCTTTTAAAAAACTTTATAAATAGCTGTAGTATGTTACTTAAAAAGTCTTATATTTTATTTAAAAGCTTAAAGTATAACCTATATTTAACATTTTTTTTAATATATCTAAGTAGTGTTGTTAAAAATGCATTAGTATAGAAAAAGTAGTGTTGTAGGGTCTTAGTAAAAGTAAGTAACTTAGGTGTGTGAGCAACTTGCCTGTGAAGTACATTAACTAAATTTCTGCATATTCTAGATACCTGTTAAAGAGTTAACAGAGCAGAACGCATTTAATTTCTAGATCGGACGCCTATAGAATCTGACAATGGTTACGACGATCAGCCCATTTCGGCGGCTGCGTGAAAATGTTCAATTGCCTGACCCTCAGACTGGAACTCAGGTGGTGTAGTGACAGTCGCAAGACCGTACCGCACCGGCCCGACTTCGTGATGGAGGACGTGGATCTAAGCTAGAAACTTTTCTGTTTTCATTCAGCACCCCCCCGATTCTGTCTCGGTGCGCTACTATTAGTTAAGCATATTCCAAAACCTAGGGGCTAGATGTTTGCTCAATAGACTCGTCGTTTTATCCACGTGAGGCCTGCATCGCCTGCTTGAGCCTTATGATTTGGGTGTGCTTACCTTTTGAACATGTAGGCCGAAGGACTGTGAAGCTATGTGAGGCACCATAGGCATGAGGAACTGGATTGAATTTTTTGCTAGAGGAGTCCTTTGTAGGAGTCTATATATATGCGAAATAAGTGGGTGAGTCTTGGCAACAGACCATGGTGAGATGCATACGACTATGGTGACGACGCATCCGATCATGGTGACGACGCATCCGACCATGGTGACGACGCATCTGACTATCGTGTGACTACTGCAAACAAGGACTCTACGATAGGCTGCCCAATCAACCTTGGGCTTGGCGTCCATCAATACTATATAAATCATATAGCTCCTCGGACCCTCAGTCCACAATACATTACTCTCATAGCTTGTGCCTGCAAGGTTACAGAACATTAACATGTATTAGACTCCAGCCGTTTAGGCCGAGGTCCTGGCTAGCCATTGACACACTGAGTTTTCTTTCATTGCCCAATTATCGGGCCTTCGTCACCCTCTATCTTTCCTTGGGGATATCCCTTTGGGCCGTTCCACAAAGACATGCATCGCTACGCCAAAGAGACATCACGATCCTTACCGCCCTTTTAGAATTTCAGGAGCAACATTAACGTTTACCAATAGTGGAAACACTGAACCCTCGAACAAGCTTCTTGGGCATCGTTCCTTACCGGCTCTCAATGAATTCACAAACCTTCTCGCATACCCCGCAACGGAAGAGTAACTCTCTTCTCTCTGCTACATGAGTAAAGATGAAATATCAGAATGTTCCATTGCCAGATGATCTGCACGGTACGGCAGACGTTGCTTCTCGCGTGGCAGGCAGGCGCCGGTTCGAAAGTAAGTTGATTAAGGCGTAGTTTTTGAGAAAACAAATCGATTTCTAATTTTAAAACAGTGGGTGACAGTGGGGGAAAAAGTAACAGTGTCTATATAATTTGGGGTAACAAAGAGGTGCACATATGAACTAGGTATTACCGTGACAAGCTCTGAATCGATTGGAGGGGGGACATACAAACTGGAAGCGTCGCGTAGAATCTTGTTTGGAGAGAAAGCGTGGCTGAGACATATATGTATACTGACAAGCCAGTGTCTGTTGATAACGGCATCCCTTGCCAGGGAAATTTAATTGCAGAACCTAATTTAAGTGTCGTTAGGTCTGTTGGCGTATTTTATATCTCACCTAACTTTAATCCAAGTTCATGCAATCTGTAATGGCCCGTAGTGGCACGTTTTCGGCGTAGGAATAGAGATTGAATTAGAACCGACCGCAGATTAGCACTCGGAAAGGACTTGGGAGATATTAGGAATTAATTTTTTAGACGTATGAATTACGAGATTCGCGCTATCAAGTCTTCCCCTTTTTCAGCCTTAGTCATGCTTCGCTGGCCGGAATACACTCAACCCCAATATCTCCTTGAATATTGTCACATACAATCTCAGGCGGAGATCCAGCAGGACTTGTGATGTTGATATTCTCGAGGTGAATGCCACTGCATGTTGCCCCGGGAGAACACGTCAAGTCCGCGACGACTCGGCCTTCTTTTCCACTGCTCGTGCCATAGATGTTTAGGAAATTGACGTTGGTGATGTTCACCTTGGAAGGATACGCCGCGCACGTTGTCTCGTTTATATTAAAGTAGCACTGGTCAAGAACCACTGGATTGTCCGTATTCTCGATGTGGATGTCTTTATATGTGATGTTGTCGATGTACCCATATCCGACGGATGGCCCTGCCCAGGCTTTCAGCCTGGCGCCGTTTTGGCCGTTGAGTAACGTCACGTTTTCGATCCAGGCGTTGGAGATGTAGTCTTTGACACCGGCATACTGGCCGATACTACCCATGCTGACACCGTGAGTACCATTGCACCAAAGATTGCGGACGAGGATGTTGGTCGTGTTGGGTTTCGGGCTAAAACAGTCGTCTCCGACATTGACGCGTGTGTTCGTTACCGTTAGCCCGTCGACATTGAGAGAGTCAAATCCGTCGGTATTTTTGGGGAGGGACTATTAAAAAGTCAGAGTTGGACCCTGCGGAGGTGGAATGAAAACCTGCTGAAGCATTGGTTGAGACTGCATCGATGTAGATGTTGTCAAAAACTACGTTCTTTGTGCGGACCATGAATGTTGTCCAGCAAGGCGAATCTTTCAAATGAAGACCAGTGACCTCGACATTTGTAGCATTGTCAGTAAGAAAGAGGATGGGGCGGTAGTATTTGTTATTCGGGTCGAGAATCTCAGCGCCAGAAAAGCCGTCCCACCATGCCTGACCATTACCGTTGATGACGCCGGAACCGTAGATTTTAATATCTCTGGGTAAATTTTAGAACAGCAACGATTGTCATGAGTTTGTTAAACTCACTTTCCGCCCCAAACCCAGAAGGTGATGCTCTTCTGGAAGTCATAGTAGAAGTTGTTGGCTTGCCAGTACTTAATGTCGTTTGTGAACTGCGAGAATTAGGCTTACGATTATTTCTTCATCCAGGAAAGCCCACCTTCAGCTCTCCATCTAGCTTCACGTACACATCCTTCAAAAATGTCAAGTCTAACTTCTTCCCAATCACGTATTTCTTCCCCTTTTCCAAGTGGACAAGGCCTCCATGGTTCGCCTTCTTCATTGCCCACAGGAAGTCATCGCTGATATCGTCATGGTCATTCTTCGAAGACCGAATTGTAATTTTCTTTCGATCCTTTTCTAATGCATTACCCCAATTGTCCTTTTCTTTGTGGGAATACGATAGGCGAGAGAGAATTGGCCTCGTAGACCGGGGTAGAGATATGGATGCACCGATAGGAACCAAGTCGTCCTCAATCAATGTGACAGAACCAGACACCAGAGGCGCGACGAGGAGGAGGAGGCAGAGCTTCATGGTGGCCAAAAGCTAGGTGACACACGAAACTGGCACCGAAAAGTGGAAGCGTGACTAGAAAGCTTGGAGTGATAGCGGAGGAAGGTTGCGATATTTACGGTGTGAAAGGAAAGGGCTTTATGTCCTCCAACCAAGAATGCTAATTTCCGAGTTGTCATTTGAACAAGGCAGGAGTTTTTCCGTCTTGAACCGGGTTGGCGGTGCCCACCATTGTGGATCGACTCCACAAACGCGGGGTCCCGAAATAAGCTCGTATGCCACGAGCTCCAAGTGTCCCAAGCTTCCCCAGGATCACCATGAAATTCATTCCTGGGAACGGTGTTCGTGCCTGTTTGCCTAGCGCGAAACGCTATGGTTCGTGGATTTGGGTTAGTGATGAGATTATCCGCGAATCGGAATTATAGTTATACTAGGCCGAAAACAGAACACCCACCCTCTGACGACTTTGAAAACTACGAGCAAAATGGGAGAGGTTTTCGTAACATGATGCATATTTACCCAAGAAGACCTACATGCGCTCCTGATTCCTCGTGACCCTATCTACACATACGCCAATATAGAAGAGAAATTGGCACAGGTAGAGGTCCAAATCGTTGGACGACGAATATTTACCAGAACTCTAGCGAAGAGATGAATCGCTTCGAGATATTGGCCGTTATGGGATAATGAGACCACATTCTATGTTAGGAAAGCGATCGTTGGTTCCAAGCCGTGGCCTCTCTACCAACACTCAGGCTGCGTGGGATGAAGCCCCCACTATGCGCTGTGTTAGGTCCAACCGCCTGGGGTATGTTAATGTCTGCTTGTTACTTTAAATCATCTTGTCTCCCCGAGTTACAAGACCTTAATATGCGATGTGACGGCACCGACCACCAGTAGGCCATCTCGTTGTAACAATAGAGACCCATCTGGGGGGCGTTTAAGGAGAGCGTGAGAGGCTTGGAAAAGGTCATAGTTACTGATCATAATTCTTTGCGGACGGCTTTGAAAATGCCAGAACAGTGGGTGCCTTCAATCGGCGGGGAAGAACAGGGTTGTTGGAAGAAAGTTCAACGCTGCTGACTCGGCACCACCCTTTGCATAACGCTAAGCAACTTCAGACATAGAGGCGGGGAACTGGTTTTCCGTGTGGCCCTCAAGTTCAAACTCCCCTCTCCATAGCAAAACAGGTTCCACGATCAATCGGTGGTCACTCTTCTAAGGGCAAGAATGCCTGGACCATGGGCAGATATCTGAGAATCCACCAATGCACCGTACAGTCAGCATGATGAAGAATTTCCAATAATCCTATGCTCTATAGGATACCAAAGGACCCAAACTCGTGCTCAAGATTTCTGTTCTCATTTCAAGCGATATAAAGTGACAAATATCCCACAAGGATACATTAATACTTGCTCATATGGTCGACACACGTTCCCACAATGCTAGCGTCTAATTGCCCGAACACATCGAGTAATACATCACCTCTTGAGGGAGTGGTTTAAACTTGAGTAGCGCCTTGAATATCCCTTTCCACGCGCCGAAACGCCGCAACGGCGCAGTTTACGTGTGGGGGATTGTCAATTGGTTCGGAAGAACGGTTACGATGACAGATTGGGTGACTTACATCCTCCAGCTAAATTCTTTTCATTCTTGCGGAATGGACAGCATCTAAGTAGGTCATCAAAATAACCTTATGCGCAAATTTACGCTAAGGGAATGCTTCCAGGCCTATCTCCAACTTGCCTTATTTAATTATTGCAAGTGCGAACTACTGGGTGTGGGCTACATGAGATATCACGTATGGATTGCTCTGGTATCTGAACAAAAAACGTTCACACCGAAAGTGTGTAAATCCATTCAATCGGGACTTTCTGAAATACTCAGGATGAAGCGGCAGATGCGGAGAGGAAGACTTGGGGTGGGAGTTGTTAGAGACAGTACAAGAGTGGAAGGCGGTTGCAAGGAGCATCCCTACCTTAATACTCGGCTCATTTCAAGACACGGCCAGCTTGTTGAGATCGAGTTATCTACCAAAATTACTTCATTCGCTTTACTAGCGCTCTGAACCTAATTGAAGGGTCAGATAACAGAGTAACCCGATTCCATTCGGAGGGGACAAGTATTGAACGAGATCGCATTGGACTATGAAGGGCGCTCGTAGACAGCGTATGTATAGTTTAGGGTTAAAGATCAATTGGCGATGCTCCGGGCCTAGCTCACTCATTCACTCCGTATAAACGGTCATCACATTAAAACCACATCACCGGCTCCAGAAATAGCCGAGGACACAGGTCAAAGAGCAAGTCGTAACGTTTTTGAACCGTACGCTAGGGGCCGAGAGGGAGCAAGGACTGGACAAGAATGCTAAACATAGGGAACAAGAAGTAGACTGACATGCAATGAACGGGGGTACCTACTCTCAGAAGAAAAACAAGTCCTAACCCTATCCCAACTCTAATCTAGTCGAAGGAAATATAGTACCAGCAAAGGTGGGCAAAACCGCGAACTCTTCCGAACTCCTTATAGAGAGCCAAAGTCGAACCCACATCCCTAGAAATGAAGAAATGATACCCTATTACTTCGTAGGCAAGAAGCATTAATCCGGCTAGATCGCAAACTAGCCTTCACGGCTCGACTCTGGTCTTTCAATTATAAGTCTGCTAGTCCATCATTCCTTACGGAATTTCTTCGCGTCGCCGATTGAGGGCAGTGTGGCGTCCGGCATTCTAGGTCATCCCAGAAGAGTTAGCGGTACAGTATGTTGTAAGCTTGTCAACGAGGGTAGTTCATAATATTCATTGAAAGCGCTGGCGGCAAAGCAGGTGGGCCAACAGTGCTGATTTCGAGATTATGGCAACGATACTCGAAGAGTTTCAATCAATCGCGGGAGGGCTAGCCATTATTTTTGCTGTTATCTTGGGCGTTATTTTATCCGTTTGCTATTGTTCTCCTACATTTACACACCTTCCCAGAACAGATGAAGGGTGAAAGTTGGATATTATGTTGAGTCTGTTGCTGGGAAGAGTGCAAAATCCTACCTTCCCATCCTCTTCCTTCGTGCTTGGATTTTCGTGCGGTAGGGCTAAGTCGTTCCGATTCCGGTCATCTATAGTCAGACATTGTTCTATCTTTGACCTGAACATCCCCACCGCTAGATAGGGTATAATACTGACCCCGATCTTGGTTACAGATAGAGGAAATTCGCAATTATGGATGTGGTGTTAGCGTCGGTGGAAGAACTGTGCCGAGTATTGCCCCGCATATTAGGATTCCCCTGCGGCCGGAGTTGTCACGTGATGTGTTTTGTCTTTCACTGAGTACATTCAAACACATCAGGCAATCCGGATTGCTGATAGGCGACGAGACTTTTCGCGAACTTTGGGGATTTTCCAGGAAGTAACCCGGCTAGTGTCAGCATTCATGCGCTGCAGGTCCCAAGCGATCAGGCAGTTCTCGGTTCCTGCATTTCATTGCTCCGATTGCAGGGAAAATCCATCATGCGCGATCTTTACCCAAATTCTGACCCCCGCAATTTAGGTTAGTTCATCTCCTATGGCACAGCTCGGTATGCTTTACCCCGAAATTTCTTGCGCATCGATATTTCCATATAAGACACACAAGAAACATCAAGTGGTCGGTGAATCTTGGAATGCAGTGATCTTGGATTATTTGGTCATCATCGTTGAAGATGCATATTTCGGTGGTCATCACCGCATGTGCCCTTTTCGGCTACGCTGTTACCAGTCCGATACACCCGGGAGCTGAGAGGAAGAGCTTCCTGAAACAGGTTGATAATTCGACTTGGATCATCGGAAATAGTATCTGGAACGTTACTCAAGGGCGGCAATATGCGACCAAGCTGTGGTATCGGAACAAGGACCTCGTTGGAAAAGCCGTCGGGCACTACGTGAGCTACAGTGCGCACATGATGTCCCCAGGTGCATAACCTCCGTCACTAATTTCTCATAGATGGCGCTCAATCCGACTTGAACTGGACCTCCGCCGCTGTTGTGGAATCGGGACCCGACTTCATAAATGTCCGCTTCACGGCCCGTGAAGGCGACTTCCACTGGGTTGTATACGATGACCTGGCAGGTGCCTACCAGTACTTTGTCAACCGTAATCTTCCTGTGCTAGGAGAGTTCCGAACACTTTGGAGGCTTGACAATAAAACCTTTCCCAATGGTCGGACGAACGAGAGAGATGGCATGCTGCCCCGGCTTTCCGAGTACCTCGCCGCAACGAATGTTCAGGATGAAACGTGGCAAAAGTCTGACGGGACGTATCTGACAAAATATGACTGGAGCGCCTTTATCAAAGAGGTAGATTTCTATGGCGTGTATGGAGATGATGTCGGAAGCTGGTATTTTCACCCTGGGAAGGATTACATCAATGGGAACCATCTGAAGCAGGAGCTCATGGTATGTTATTTCGGTTGCTCGTCTGAGTTACGCTGATAAGAAATATAGATTCATCGCGAGAGTAAGACTGGCGATGCGGTGCAGCTCAATATGATTCATGGTACTCATTTCCAGGCTGTGTCGAGCGATGCATTCCCTGAAGGCAAGACCTGGGGTCCGTGGCTGTGGTACCTCAATGGTGGATCAAAAGAAGATGCTGCTGGTCGAGCAAAACAGGAAGAGCGGGCGTGGCCGTATAAGTGGGTTACGGATGCCTCCTTCCAGTCTCGAGGTTCTGTCCGGGGCAAATTGACGCTGAGCGATGGCCGTCCGGCAGCAGGAGCTGCGGTGTTCCTTGGAGATAATGCACCGAATAAGACCACACTCGACCAGGGACGGAACTACTATTACACAACCTATGCGGGGAATGACGGCTCATTCCAGATTGACAATATTAGGAGTGGTGAATACGGATTGCAGGCGTGGTCTAATGGAGGAAGTATCAGTGATGTTACGACTGCCGTCCTCAAGAACAATGTTGTAGTCGGGAAAGATAAACGAACGGACCTAGATGCTATCGTTTGGGAGACCAGCAACGTTCAGAAGCGCATCTTCCAGGTCGGGGAATTTGACCGCCAGACCACTGGATTTAACGGTAGTGGTGGTTTCCAGCATGGCCGGATTGCAAAGTGTCCAAGCAATCTGACATACACAATTGGGGTTTCCCGAGTCGGAGATTGGTGTTTCGGGCAATCCTCACTTGGAACCTACTCAATAAATTTTGATTTGTCCTCGGTTCCAGAAAATGCAGCACGGGCAGTGCTGAAAGTTTCGCTTGCTGGGTTCTCCGGAGGTTCTAGTGCAGATATTCTGCTCAACTCAAAGCGAATTGGAAACATTACAACAGGTAGTGCATTGCTACCGACTAGTCAAGATACGTACCGATCAGCGACAAGAGCAGGAGAGTGGCATTTGTTAGAGTATCCGGTAGCAAAAGAAATTCTGAAGGCAGGGGCGAACCAGCTGGGGTTTCGGGTGACGCAAAGCACGCTCTGGAGGGGTTGGCTTTGGGATTCAATAGTCCTAGAGTGGACTTAGTATAATAAAGTGCGTCTATACTCGGAACGCGACGGAATGAGAGGCTAGTGTGGAGATATTCATCCCGATATCAAAGTTGCGTGGAATTCAACTACAAGTCCCGGTAAATTGATATGGGACGCCGCCGTAAATGGTAAGATGGGGATTGGAATGGTCGCACCAAATCGGTTGCGAGTTGCCATTAAATCCGTTTGCCGCAATTACTTTCTCGTCTGGGACTGGTCGTCGCACCCCATAATTGCATCCCACCTCTTCCCGGCTAGCAATACGATACATACATGCGAAGCAACCAATCTCATCGCTACCAAAGCATCAAGCCAACTCTACCCTCACCCTCTCCCCAGTTTTAAAATTCCATCGCCACCCGTCCTGCCTCCACCTCCAAACGAGATACGCTCTTAAGTCCTTATCCAATGGTACAACTCTCTGCCACTCCGGCTCAACCTCCCCCTTCCCTTCAAACCCGTGGAGTTGATCCCGAAAGAATATTCGAAAACCATCAAGAGCGTATGGGCCAATTCCAGGTAAATGTGCAATCTCCCAGCCCTCGCGCTTATCGTTTGGATCAAGTAGGAGTCCATTCTTAACGCCTTCTCCGGAGTTGGGGTAGTCGCGTCTTCCGTACCTGCGTTCCGCGCAGGGTGGTGAGCTTACCCATGCTTGGGCGAGGCTGATGAGACGGCGTGCGCGGATATTGTGGAGGCCGAGGCAATAGATGAGGGCTGTAAGGTCTGCGACAGAGGCTTTAGCGAGAGCTTGCGGTGATGGGTACTGTGTAAGGAGGCGGAACACAATTGGCCTTCTAGCTCTGGCTGTGGTCTGGTTCCAGAGAATGGCCCGGATAACTAGGGCAAAGAGGTCGGCACGAATGCGCTCCTGTATGAGGCCAAAGCCTGGAGGTTGGAGTTGGAAGGCGAGACCGCGTGGAGTGGGCATCTGTGAGAACGGATCAAGGTTGAAGTCGGGGGACCTAAGAACTGTATGCTTGCGTTTTGCTCTTACGAGATTTTGCGTTAGCGTTCGGGATCGTTTTTGTAGTAGAGAAATGGCAGTGGAGCCCTGGGGAGGAGAGAGAAGGGCGAGGCGGTGCATTGGGGCTCGATTTCGTTCTCGCAAAGGTATGGAGACAGTTCTGACTTCGCCTTTGACTTTGCTTTTGTCTTAGTCTTTCTCTCCGTTAATGCTAGCGATGAATCAAGGGATGGGGACACGGTGGGTGCTGCCTTCTTCTGAGTAGCTGTCTGTCGGCCAGTCTGCTTCCGCGCTGCTAGCCTTCGGATGCCTCCGCACAGGGTCGTACAATCAGACAGGGAATTTGTGAGCTCGACGAGCGTGGGCTGGACGAAGTCGAGAAGCGAGCTAAGAACCCTTGCGATTGTGTCCAGACGCTGCGAAAACGTCTCTTCCCCTGACGACACATGTTCTCCAACAATGACTAAATCGGGAGCCCACCCACCATCCTCCAGGGTATCTGCTCTTCTCCGTTTCTTTCGTTTATGTTCCAGGGCCGCATCGCGGGTATTGTGTGCACGAGATGGCTGCTATATTGGTGAATGGATAGAGGTAGCGCCGGGCTCGATGGATGCTGTTTCACGCTGAATAGGCACTTGGAGTGCTGAAGTGCAGTGGGCATATTTACGGCCGTTTTTAGTTGACGTGCGGGGAATACAGGGGACAGCTAATGCTAGCTCGGTTTGTTTGTGGCGATACTTTTGATGCTTTTTGGCTTTCGGGGGGTCACGATGGATTTCTTTAGCCTTACGCTTTGTACCTGCCATAGTGAACAAATAGGGTGATTGTGGGTGCCGAAAATTCACGCAATCGAAGAATATGGGGTAGGCTGCTCCCACGTGGCTGGATACGGCGCATTGTGCTGGAATCGAGCAAATACGCGCACCTCTGGTCGATTGCCCTCACGTGAGACTGCTGACGCTTCTTCACATGATCGGAAGTACTATTTATGACGAAATTACAGAGAAGATAGTCCTAAATAGAGGTCAAACATCAAACCACACCCTCTTACTGGACCGTAGACTCAGCGAGCTGCTTGGGAGTTTTTATATTATACTATAGAAGGGACTGGTTTCTAGTAATTCCCACCAAGACACCATAGGCAACCTCTTGGCCGAAAAATACACCCAATACAAATATTTCTGATCCCCACTGGGCGTCCCTACCCAATTGCCATCCACCGCCGCGAGCACCCAATCCGAATAAAACACCGCAAAGCCAATAAGAAGCGCGTATGCACCTGGTATTGCAGATAGAAGTGCCGTCCACTCGTACGCTTTGTTAAAAAAGTACCAGTAAATAGAAAGACAGGACAAACAGACGAGAGCGATCATAATGCCAGTGAAGATGCGAACGGCTTTGTTGTGAGGAAAGGTCTGGTGCACGATTTGGAATAGACCTATTAGACCGATAAAGGAGCCGAGCCAGTACAGAGAGGCTTCGAGGAGAGAATTTTTTATTATACCTGACTGGGGCGGCGACCCGCGATGTTGATGCAGCGCCATAGAAAGCCCGGCAATGTTAAGGGAGACACTTAATGTAAGTTTCCAGAATGCTATCAACACAAACTGCCAGTTGTTACGACAGCTAGCCATTGTAAACGCCGTCAGGACAACCGTGACCACCATGGATAGAATACATATCAATGCATCAAGGCGGCTATGCGAGATCTTGCTGAATGGCCAGAGAGGGCGTCGCCGAAAATGGAAACATAGCATGGTGTAGTAGGTGAGAGCATGAGAGACGAAACCAAGACTACCATATGGGAGAGAGTAGCATTTCAGCTCTTCAGGTAGAGTGGTGCCTCGTCCGGGGAAGAGAGTTTCGTGAAACCATTCCGAGGCGGAAAGCGGCGCTGGATGGGCGTGAACGAAGGCTGGAAGTGGAAGAATGATTGCGAAAACTGAGGTTTGGACAACGGATTCCAACCGATAGAGCATATTGTTTGTGTGAAAAGACGTCGCTATACGTTGCTTACTTCCAAAAGTCAAGAATGTTTTACCACAAATAGAGGCTGAGCAGAGGTTTTTTTTTTTTTTTTTGAATATCTAACGTCCCTCACTGCGTAGCGAGAAACACTGTGTGCCGAGAAAAATGAGGGGTACTTTGACTTTCAGCAACCAGAAAGCCCATGCGCACGACAAATATTGCTATAATTCTCCAAAAATAATTTGCTGTAACGTACCTAACAGGTTGGCCGGCCACACAGGTTAGCTGGCCACTTTTGCTAAGCCCCTACTAAACTCTACCTATCTACATAATGCCTTAACAATAACACTAGATTAAATCTTCTAAAGAATATTAGATATAGCTTACTTTTTAAGCTTTTAAATAAAACTTAAAACTCTTTTTATAACATACTATAGCTATTTATAATATTTTTTATATAACACTAAGTAATTAACACACTAGATAGCCTTTATAAGTAGAATACTAGCCTAAGTTAAGAAATCTAACTAAGCTTAAAAAAAAGTAGTTATTAAGTATATACTTAAGCTTATTATATATAGATTTTTTTTAAGTTTATAGCTATAGCTAATATAGCTAATTTCTTGCGCGTAGAGTGTAATTTAGGCTAAGTTAGCTTAAACTAGCCTAGTATATAAGTTAAGCACTATTTTAAGTTTATAATAAAGCTTAATTATAAGTATAATTATAAAAAAGTACTTTATAAAAATCTAAAGGTTATCTAAAGCTAGTTTTACTTAGTAGCTAATATAAAAGCTAAGTATAGTATTTAAAATAAAAATATATATAACTTTAATAAGTTAAGCTTTATAATAAGCTAGATATTAACTAAAGTAGTTATTATAGCTTTAAAAAAATAAAAATAGCTAAAAGTAATATAGTAAAGTAATAAAAAGTAAATAATAGTTATTTAAAGTATTAATATAATAAAGTAATCTATTTTACTTTTTATTATTTTTAAAAGCTACTATTACTTTTTTACTTA